GAGCTCAGACAAGCCGAGTGCCTAAACTGGCATTTCTCACTGTGCTAAGAATCAACAACAGGCTAGTTTGAAATTTGGTATCACTGGCTAAGGACACAACTAAGCCAGTGGGAAATCCTGCAGTAATGGTTCTCCAGTTTAGAGAAAAATAAATATTTTAGTGAGTGAGAACATTCTCCAGCTTTTAAAAATATGTTGTACATTTGTTTTCGAATGTTGAGCCGCCCTTCCTTGCGCTGGTGGTTACCACAGAAACCCGCTTCATGTTTATGGCATGGTCGATGACAGGGCTGTTCCCTCCATTTGTAGGACTATGAAGTACTGTGCTCCCTGGCACCACAGCAGATAGGATTGCTGGCTCCTGGACAATGAGGCATACGTAGGGTTTGCGCCACATGCCTTTCTGTGTGTTTCATCCTGACTGGATGTTAGGCACTGAATACTTCTCAAGTGTTCCTCCACTGTCCAATTTGCCGGTTTGGCAGCAAGTTTTCATTCTAATAAGAGAAGTTTCTCAGATGGAGATTCCAGATGTGTCCAAGCTGCTTTTATTAGGACAATGGAAAGGTCCAACCTTTTCTTCTAAATACAATCAAGGGTAGTGTGGCTTGGCCTTTGTAATTTTACAAAGAGTTGTATTATGTAACTGGAAAATTGTCTCCCCGGGCATAGAGAGAATTTGTTAGAACAGCATGCAGTTTGGAATAATGCTGACGTAAAGTTTCAATCCAAGAGAGCAACATTTTAAGTTGCTGAAACACAGTAAAGGGGAAGAAGGAAATTGCTGTTTTCCATGATTGACCAAAATGCACGATAATTGTATCAACTTGAAACAGATTCCTTAGAAGAACTGATAACTCTGTGATCCGAATAAGCCATGTGTAGTAGAACTAAATACTGCATGCACTTTCTCTGCAAAGTGTAGACACCGCCGTATTTGAGATGTGCAGCAAAAGAGACAGCTGTGCTTGCCTGTTTAATGGGACTCCAGCTCCTTTAGCATAGTAAAGAATGGCGGTGGCTTTACTGAGGAATTAGTATTTACCATACCTGCTCATCCTTTTGCACTGCCTTACAACACTCCTTGTGGGCCCTTCTCGTGTAATGTTATTTTGATGTCACCACTCCTGTTTGTAATTAACACAGCGTCACTCATCAGTCAGCTTCTAAGTGGAACACTCCTTACAGATTCCACTAACTGTTCTTGTTGCCTGTTCTAAACTGGGTGGGGAAAATTTAATCACAGATATTTAGCCCAAAGATAGCCTTCCCATTTTCCCTCTTCTCTCCAATGTCTCCACATAGTGCTATTTTCTGTCAGCTACAGTCCACCTATAGACAGGAGATCACCTCCAAAAAGAGTAGTAGTATTTATTCAATGCCAGTAAAACTCCTTTGCTGACATTGGATATCCCAAAATACTGTTATTACTTGCATATTGTAATCATATGTTTGCACAGCTCCTTCACCTAAGTATAAGCTTCTAAAGGGAAGGATTGTGTCTTATTTCTGTATAATGCCCCAAATAGTGGAATACTAATACATGCGAAGTGTTCAAAAACTCTAATTAACTGCATGAATGGCAGATTAGAAATATTATCTATGAAGAAATACTATCTATTCAGATTCTATGAAAAGGAAGAAGTTACAGCTAGCAAGTAAAGTGCCTAGATTTCCTAGAGCAAAGTTAGAGAACTAGTTAATTATGAAATAGCAGCACTCTGGATTCATCTTGGTGTAAGCTGACAGAAGATCTTCTTCGATGTTACCCAAGCACACAGACATCGTAGACAAAGCTGATGTCTCTAACTCCAGCGGTGAAAGAGGGGCCAAGGTCATTAGTATGCACTTGCTTTGGTCCCTCTGCTGACTCATTGATAGTCCCTTCTAGAACCGGGGTCACATAACTGTGAGATGGCCATGCAGAGTTAACTGAAGTACTCAGCTGAGGAGCAGGAAGAGGTCAAATGGTCTATATTGGGCTTTGACTTTATCTCATAAATTTCCTCCCCCAACACACTCAGGTCGCCACCCACCCTGAGCAACTGAATGCCCCAGCAGAGTCCTGTACCACCTGTCCTGAAGGAAACGTGGAAGGTTGCCATGGTGGGGGATCTCTTCCTTCACTTCTCTTAAAAGGACAACTTTCCCTCACTGGCCTTTGTTTCATTTCCCCACCTGGAATGCTTTCTCATGCTTACTCTTTTTTGCCTCTGAATCCTATAGGACCAGCTCAAATCCCTTTTCCTTCCTGAAATCCTTCCTGCCCTCTGCAGAAAGCAGTACTTTCTCCCTCTGATGAACACCTGGGCAGTTTGGTGCAGATGCTATTTGACATTATGGATATTTTTCTTTACCTTATAAGTCATTTTTCTCATTCATTTATTTATTATGCCCTTTATAGTGAGGATAATGCCCTGAGTTTTTATAAAACTTGTAGATCTTATTTCATATGACAATTATTTTAAAAAATACGTGGTAATTTGGCGGGAAACTCATCTAGAAGGGAATTTGATAGAGGTAAATGAATTTAATGAAAATTATTACAGATAGTATGAGAAAAATCTATGAACATGTAATACTATTATAATATATAAAACTATTTTAAATTATTTTCTTTAAAGAACAGTTAGAGAAGAATCTTGGCTTTCCCAACTAGGACATAAGAAAATGTTTCATACTCAGCCATGAATATAGGTTACAAATATGCAAATGGAGAGATGGAGATTCTTTTTCACACTAGAATCGGCATCGTGTTTTGGAAATCGCTCTCTATGTTATTTGTATTTGTAGTATAAACAAATTTCATGCAAAGTTATTTGTTGTGTAAGTGTACATATATTTTTCTTATTGTACTATTTTGTGTTTAGGTTTAATTCATTTGTATCCAGAGTACCAAGTCATCTCATCTATGTGCAGTAGTCCAGAAATATCAAACACGGTCCACCTACGTGACCATCAAATCATGTTTTTGATTATAGACAGAACCACTTACTGAACATTCTGGATCAGTGGTTATGCACACACCAAATGTACCTCTAGACCCAGAATAGTTTAAATGAGTTGGCTGTATTGATCCACGAGCTTCTGATGAGCTCAATCAATTCAAATTTTAGAGATATAATTCTTGTCTAAAAATGAACCTTCTTGGGGTGCCTGGATGGCTCAGTCGGTTGAGCGTCTGACTCTTGATTTTGGCTCAGGTCATGATCCCAAGGTCATGGGATCGCAGGGAGCCTGCTTAAGATTCTCTCCCTTGCTCACACACACATTCTCTCTCTCTCTCAAAAATAAAAAATTTTTAAAAAATTAAGAATTAAAAAATTTAACCTTCTAAAAATGATCACGTTAATAGAGGTGTAAATTTGACAAACAAAACCATCGTGAATATTAAGGACATTGTTTAATTTTGGCAATAGTAGAATATCGCTTTATGTGCTGAAGAGGATCAAGAAGGAGTCATGTTGAATGTATCATAAAACACACACACACACACACACACACACACACACACACACACACACACACATTTATTTAAAGAGAAAAAGGATTACTCGACAAGCTTACCCCTTTCTTTACATTCCTGTTGCCTCCATTCATATTCTGGCATTATTATCTTCACTTAGATCATCCTGTTGCCCTCATGGTTGTTCTGCCCTCCATACTGCCATTCCAATCCACCCAATCAGGCAGTAAATATTTTTGTAGTTATTTGTATGTGGTCTGCTGGGAGAACTCTACTGGACTACTCAACTTCCTCCATCTCAGAATGGCTACCCTCCCGCACGATTATATTCAGCAACTCTCCGCTCTCCAAATCAAATGTAATCTAGCCTCACTTTCCAGTCTTATAATAGACTCATTCCTTTCCTATGCCCAGCTGTTTCAATCAAAGTGAAATATTAACTCTTTTCTGTGATATATGTATCCGTTTTCAGCATAATTCCATGTGGCCTAGAGCCATAAAATACATTATTCTTAGAGGTAGAATCATAAATCCAACAATCTCAGGAAAGTATCTCAAAGTAGATAATATAAGATGTGTTTTTGAAAATTTCTTTTAAAATTTTTTGATAAAATTATGGAAGGAAGAGCAGGAAGGCCTTAACTAAGAATTGGGCCAAGGAAGGTAAACACCAGGTGAGAGGAGACTAAAGAAACTCAAAAATGGAGAACTGGGGTATAGAGAAATGAGAGTACTTGTCATAAATCTCTTTAAAAACAAACCCCAGAGTAGCATACAAAATAAATAAGTTAAGACCCTGACACTGGGAAACTTCCACAGGTTGAAGTTTAGAGTCCTGAGATGCATGATCATAACCAAAAAGAAGAAAAAAACAGAATTTAGCTTTCTAAAATGGAATACATTTTTATCGAGCACCAATTATATACAGACCATATATGAAGGGTTCAGGTAGCCTGAAAGTAAAGACCAACTCTGCTCCATCATGAAGTAGAATTAGTGATTGTAAACTGTATCACAATACAAATTCATTCTCTTCCCCTAAGCACAGGTTCCTGTCTGCCAGAATGAATTTCAAATTCACAGTCAGGATCCAAGTTAGGCCATATTAGCGGCTCTGTATTTAAACTTTTTATTAAATTACCATCAAGGGGTACTAATTAAGATAAGAAATACAGCTACTTATTTATTTCATATGCACCTTCAGATTTCTGAATTATACATTAAACAATCTATGACATCTGTGTATGCTTTTCACAAAAGAAAAAGGCATAAATGCCTCAGGGTGCATCTGCCTGGCTAAGAAACAGATGAAAAAAAACTCTATAGTTTCTATTAAAATACAGAGAAATAGAATTTTAAAGGCTACAAAAATAAGGTAAGGATTATATGAGGCAAATAAATCAATAAAGTCGATAGCAAAAACCAGAATATTTTAGATTAACCTGAAAAGGCTGAGTTTCCTAAGACTTTGAAAAATGAGGGAAGTCATCTGGCAATTCCTTAACTTCGATTTTTTGTTTGATTTTGTTTCTAGGTTCCAGATTCAGAGATGTGCAACTGATCCAAACAGTTATAAAAGCTTGGGAGACAGTTTTCGAACAATTTTCCGAATAGAAGGGTAAGTACAGTTCTTCATGTATGGACTTTATGTTGCTATAGACATTTAACATATTACTACATGTTTTTTTTTCATTTTTAATGTTTCATTTTCCTAGTGTTATTAAGGGAAAATATTTAAAAGGGTGCCTTCCCACATTTTTTTTAGTTTTTCCTGATAATACAATTGAAAACTAAATATGTATACCGTAAGAACTACCACGAAAATATTAATATTCAACTTGCTGACTGGAAGACAGTTTCTATTTTGTGCCATTAAGATTTTTTTCAAGTTCTCATAACAGCAGCTATCTAAATGTAATAGTTCTTTATTTTGATTCTTGAATATAGTGCCCAAATGTGTTCCTTATTTGCATTGCAGCTTATGAATATTCAGTCAAAACAGAACTGTGTCAAAAGTTGATGTGTCACATTTGTTATCCTGTCTACTAGATGATCAGATAAAGAGTATTTTTTTACATAGATGCCTGGGTGGCTCAGTCGGTTCAGCGTCCGACTCTTGATTTCGTCTCAGGTCATGATCTCACAGTTTGAGGGTTCAAGCCCCGTGTTGGACTCTGCATTGACAGTGTGGAGCCTGCTTGAGCTTCTCTCTCTCAATATCTCCCTCTCTCTCTCTCTCTCTCTCTCTCTGCCCCTCTCCCGCTTCCTCTCTCTCTCTCACAAAATAAATAAGTAAACTTTAAAAAAAGAATCTAATAGGTGAAAAATAAATTGTCTATAAGCATTCTTTTGATTATAACTGGGATTGAGCATGCTTTTATACCATTAAATGTCATTTCTTTTATGAATTGCTTATTTCTATTCTTGCCCATTTCTCTTAAGTTAGAGTTTTTATTGATTGGTAGGGGCTCCGTATATATTATAGGTACTAATTCTTTAACAATGACATAGATTGCAAATATTTTCCCCAGCTTGCCATTTGCCTTAGAGCTACAATGTCTTACACCTTTCAGAACTTTGCGATTTTTGAAGATTGTGGTTTTGTGATTATATCTATCTTGTTCTTTGTGATATCTGACCCTATTGTCACATTAGAAAAAAGGATATTTTAGCCCCAAGTTTATAAACATTTTCTTCTGGTATGTTTGACATTTAAGTCATTAATCCGTGTGAGAATTGTTTTTTTAATATGCTGTGTGGCATATAGGAATTAAATTTTATTTTCAAATGGCTAGTCAATTGTCCAAACACCACGTGTTGAAAAATCCATCTGTTACTCCCTCATTGGAAATGCTAACTTTTTTGTGTATTAAACGTCCACGTATACATCATCTAAATTTTCTATTCTCTTTCTCCATTTCTTATTCTGTTTCATCAGTTTATCTCTCTGCCAGCATTATACTGTTTTAATTATTTTAATTTTGGAGTATTTGGTTAATATATAAAAATATGCCCTGCAGTATAAAGTCTAAACTTATCATGGTACAGAGCCCTTCCTAGTATGGCCCTAGCATAGCCTAGTATGGCCCTCCTTTTCTCCAGGCTCGTTCCCCATTCACAGATCTGCTCTAAAAACAGCCAGCCTGCTCACATTCTCATAGCTTTGCATGCTAGTCTTTATCTTATTCCTGCAGGACCAACCCCCTCATCCACACAAGAAACTATCCCTCCTCATTCAAGAGTGCCCTCACATTTCTCCCCCTCTGACCATCTTTTCTCTACCACACGCTTTCTTTATCAATCACTCTTATATGCTATACAAAATATAGCATGCACCTGTCTAATTTATTATGGCTGTTTTCTGTCTATCTCCTTTCTCTCGCCCTAAGGGCAATTTCTCATTTAGCTTTGTATCCCCTGTGCCTGTGTTTAGCACTGAGTAGAGATAGTAAGTGCATGTTAAATGAATAAATGTCATCACATCAAAATCATAATGATGCAAAATGAAACAGAGATGATAATTCTTGCTATTGACTACCCCTTCTGAAGTTATGATAAGATTTCGATACCTGATTAAATATCTTTAGAAGATCTAGTGACAAAGAAGCAGCAAATTCTTGCTATTATTACTGTGGTGATGTGGTACCTAAGTGCTGTGCATTGGTAATATACGTGCATTTATGACAGTTGGGATCAAACTCATGCTCAGTTTACCCAAAATATACATGAAGTTAAACAAATCATAGTGTATTATATAGTCAATAGCAGTGTCCCTTCCCAGTTAAAGAGTAGTAATAGCATTGCCAAGTTCTGTAAGCTGTAACAGATATCTCTGCATTAGATGTGGGAGTTCCTTAGCCAGGCTCTTTATTTCATGTGTGTTAGGAAGAATTTGATGTTTCTGCTTTGATATCAAGTAATACAACAAACATACAGCATGTGTGGTCCTTGCATAGTAAAATTGGCCTTTTCCTAGACTGTATGTATAATTGTTTCTAGAGCAAATTGACATACTTTCTGTAATGCCTTTAGATCTAGGCATGTTATTAGCCAAAAGCCAGAGACCTCTCATCTTAGAGATGTGAATATTTGTTAAACACAAAAGAAAAAGCTGCCTGTTATTTTTGATACCGAGCAAGAACATTTCATAGAGCTAAGTTAAAAAAAGAAAAGAAAACCTTTTAATGCATGTTGTGTTGATTTTTTTTTTTTCCTAGTGAAAGCAGTTCCTTTTGATTTTCTTCTTTAGCTTTTAGAGTACACTCTGCTTTCAAAGGTGTTTTTCTCACTCAGGTGCCTACAGCCCCATTTGGTGTGTGGCTGTAGAGATACAACACAAGTCAATTTGACTATTAACATAGGTGAGACAGTTCATCTCTCCTCGTTTTTCCTATATCCTCCAAGTTAAAGGTTTTGAAAGCTATTCCTTTTCTGTTATTTAAGAACATTAAAGTCTGATAATATACTTGATGTCTGCACAGATCTCCCATTTTCCTCTCTGCTGTGAGAAAGTGAAGTGATACTCATCACCATTCTTAGAGATGAAGCTCCCTATTTCTCTGCCCAGAATTCATGTTTCCAAGAGACATTGGCTCAAATACATGGGTCCAAATCCCTTTACCATTTCTAAGATTCTTTTAAGAACTAAAAACATAGATATATTGTACTTTAATGAAACACATGGTTTTTTCAACCCAGCTTTACCCAAAAAAAGGCCTTCCAAATTCTGGGCAAGAACTTCTACTATATGGAATCATCACACTTAGTTGGCTTTTACCAAAGAGGCTATCATTGTTTTAGCTAATGGAGAAGAAAGAACTCACGGGGAAGAACTTTGTCACTGTTGAGAGTACCTCCATCGTCACCATGATTCTTCGTCTTTTTCAGGTTTGGCAAAAATAAACTCATAGGTCCATCTACTGAAATAGTGAGCCCAGAAGACATAGTTAGCCTAGCTGATGGGGCACCTTTAAAACCAATTAGTTTTGTTTTATAAATTCTCCTGGCAAACAGCAGCTGGTGTCTCCATTTACCGTGTGTTCCTGCATCACATCTTACTTCCTTCTGCTTCAGGGTATCTCCTGAAAGCTTTTCTAGTCTCTTTTGTACCTGTCATTCCTTTAAAGAGAGTGATTGAGATGCGCACAGATGGGGGAGAGGATTATAAATTATGCTAATGTAAAACCAGGATTGCCTGTCTCTCCCTCTTCCTCTTCTGTAAGCTCCTAGTGGCCATTCTTCCTGAAATAAAGAGGAAAAAGAACTAAAACAGAACTTAAGATATCCTGGTGACATAGGTAAAGAAAGACGTGAAACTGATATTTGTTTCTTCAGTGTAACAGACATGATGCTAGGGACTTTTCAAACCTTGTATTGAACACAGCACTATTCTCAACACAAGACAGCATTATGTCTGTATTTTGTATGAGGTGCCTGAAGATCAGAGAAGTTAAATAACTTGCCCAAAGTCACGCAGATACTAGCAGCATGTCATGGTTTTTCCATTGTCTTACATCACCTTTTACTAAACACCAAATTTTGTTATTTATTAAATGAAAAGAAGGCAATGTGAAATGAGTGGCTATAAACCCCTAATTTTTAAGTAAGTAACTCTTCTACAACTTTCCGTATTCCTACCCCCAAAATCACGTAGCAATTTAAAGCAGCTTTTCTCTCTTCCTTCAGGTAAAGTACAAAAACTCTGAGAGACCATATATGCTCAGTGAACTGAAACTTGTCAGTTCAGAGACAGCACCACAAACCTCTGATAACTCAAGACTCTTAATCCAGTTATTGTCCCATCCCTTACAGACGGATCCATATCTGATAAGTTCATGGTTTCCCGTCGGCTCTCATCCTGCATGTTCCTCAGTTTTCTTCTGAGAAAAATTCATGCATGTTGGTTTGCCCAAGGCAAATAACTAGGAAACAACTAGGTCGGATTAAACTTAGTTTCAAATGAGAAACATGTTGATTGCTGGTGCCTTCAGAAATATGGTATTCTTCAGAAAGTATTACTGTAGAAAATATGTGGTTGCGTTTGGGGGGTATTTGAGCTGTGTTTTGCTTCACGATTTGTTTTCTGTAACCGCTGATGCTGCCCCAAGTATCATCTTACAATCAGACCACTTGGTGATTATAATATTTTCTAGTTAAATGACATTTAAGGCCTCGTTTTATGAGCTCCAGCATAATTGGCTAATTTGGTAAACTCCAGATGTGTGAGATAATGTGCCACTCGTTTAAGGGCCTTTCAGACGGCATAAATGGCACAGCCCCAGGAGGTATAATCACTCCCTCTTGTTTTCATTAAGGGGAATGAGTGGCTTGTGACACAAAGGAAGGGGGACGTCTGCAATTCAAAATCAACAACAACCTGGCAAGATTTGGACATTTTCTTTTTACAGGTGGACTAACTCCAAGATCTTTACCTTAATTTGGTGTCTTAGTGGGTCTACTTTTTAAAACATGATTTGCCTAATGTAACACAACCAGGTGATTTTCAAACACCATTTCTAAACAGAAAAGTTTACCCCTAGAGAAAACCTCTTGGGTAGCCCCTGGAAACCCCCTCACTGTCACATGGAAGTGTGGGAAAGTGTTGGACCTGAAGAGACA